CTTTTCGAAGAAGGCAGCCCATCAGAGCTTTGCGGTCGACTGAGTCGAAGGCTCCTTTCAGGTGAAGGAATACTGCCGACGGTGAGTATGACGCAGCTCAAGGATCTGACGCAACATAAAAATTTGATCAATAGATCCACGGCCAGGCCGGAATCCGGCCTGCTGTTCACGGATGTTGGTCTGTTTTAAAGGCGTCAGACGTCGAAGTATAACCGAAGTTAGAACTTTGGTGACGATCGGTATATATATATATCAGCTCTGAACAGATCTGATTGAAAGAAAACGCTCTTTGCACTTGATTTTAGTTGAAGAGGCCTTTTTCGCTTAACCGGATCGAGACACGTGAACTCTTCCCATGTTTCCCAAAAACTCCAATCTGACGCGTTCAGCCACACCATATGCGTTTGTCACTGTCCGTTAAATCCATTTGGCGATAAGTGACAGCTTTGACTTGTGTCAACGAGAAGCAATAGGAGAGGTTTGTGAGTTGCGATCACGGTTTGCCACTTGACACGGCTTCATTGGATAAAAGTGCAACGGAACCGCAGTTGTAATGTTCACTCAGCAGTGTTTCTGGCATAAGGAATCACCTGGTAGAACTGCCCGTACTGATCGATTCGTTGAATGGCTTGCTTAACGGCTGTTACCCATCCCGTCTGTTCACGTGTTGACGCTCTGCTTGTTCACCAGCCCATAGGTTGGCCACATGTGTGTGTCTACTGCAAATAAACGTACCGCTTAATTCCCTACTCACCTACTTAAGCAGGATACAATATTTGGCGTCGCGTGATTGAACCTGCTTAATGTGGTTCCATACATCTGTTTTCAATAGGCTTGGTTTATTGAGTACAGTTTCTCAATCTCCAAATGACCCAATTGGTAAACCATGCCATGAATCGTGGAACTCATGAAAACTACATTCGTGTATTACCTTACATTTCTTTCTATGCTCAATCCCACAATGAAATTTACTAATGTGTTCCGCGGTAAACTACTACGTTTACATTTCGGTACTGAAGGTAGATGATTCTTTGATGCACTTAACCTGCGAGACTAACCCATGAAGGATGGTATTGCAATGGCTTTACTACGTGTGACTTTCATTCTATGATGGGAGATAACTTTTTAACCATTTTTAATTCGTGTGCACTGTGATTAACGCCGATGGTTTCACACCACTTGCGAATTTCATTTCACTTCTTCATGGTTATTGGTTGCAAAAACTGAGTTGATTATCTGCCTTTTCTACTGATATATCCGCAGGATCAGATGCTTTCATTTAGATGGTAATTAGGATAACCATTTTGCATCGAACAGTTATTCACCAGAATCATATTACGACACCAAGTGACTAGTTCTGAAACCCTAAGCCTGATGTGACGGTAGGCCATGGGCACTTCGAAGATGTTCGGAACCTACTGTCCCTACTAGTAAGCGGCCGCTAAGCTGAGGATATACTTGTAGGGACAGCGGGTAATATTCGGGATGTCTCACTTAGCGGGGCCTCGTGCGGTTCGTCCCGGGACTTAGGGTACCAGTTTCCACCACTGCACAGCAGGTTCTCGTGACTATGGGGTTCGCCCCGTCTGACGTCCATCACACTTAGGTGTGTAATAAAAAAATTAAATCGAACTTTTATTGTTCCATGTGATGGATACACAAACCGGATCTAAAATACTCACCTTCACGCCCAGGTTTTCGTTTAGGAGGTCCTTCGTCGATCAACAATGTGTCCAGTGGAAGACTTTCGGGGAGAATGAAGTACCGTATATTGTTCCCGCGAACAGTGAGTGTGTCAAGATTCATAGACTCCCTGTTTTTAGGAGTAACTGTGACAGATCGCAAATGAGTGTTCATGGAAACATCAACGCCAGCGATACTCCCGTGTACTTGAGTTCCATTCTTGAGCTCGATAGTGACCGTCTCATGAGATAACTTCATCAAAAACCTGGAATAAACCGAAGATATGCTGTTACTGGAGGGACGACAGATGTGACAGAAAAAGGCACACAAGCAAAGTGGAATAATTTCCAAATTCAAATGGTCTGCAAACATACTTATTCATCCGCGAAAGATGATCGGTCCAATTATAAATGTGTCTACCTTGCGGATGGCATTAAACGATCTCAGTGCAAGCGTAGCGTAAGCAAGCAACTCTTAAAAGCAACCAGAAAGCTATGCAGCAAGACAAACCGTGACTCTGCGTTTCAACAGATAATGAACTAATCTGGACCTGCAGTGCTGAAAGGACCAACCACAATCGTCAAAAACATTGTAAAAATGAAAGGAGCGAAATCATCACCGCATGGAAGGGCTATGGCCAAACTACCGCTGGGAGCAACAAACGACTCTGTAACTGAAACGCATATCAGACCGGTCCTCACAGCAGGCCAGATTAGGTTTCTAGGGCGAAAACAGGCTTTCGCCTAACGAGTGTCCAGATTCACACCAGTTGTCTTTCGGACCTCCTCTGCTGTTACGACGTGAAAATTATTACCGTGGATTGTGATCCTTAGTTTACATTCTGTAGTTTTGGCTAGCCAAGCGGTTAGTAATGATAAGGATTCGGTTCAGGGAAAGCTTAGCGTTATACCGAAAGGTCTACAGAGAGGAGTAGTAGGAATTTGAACTAACAGTACTATTGTGGAGTCTCACATTCGCACACAAATTAGGGACCGGCAGCTGTGACACTTAGCACTGGCCATCGAGGAGAGCCTTATCAGCTTTTGTGCGACGTTTAATTTATTGCATCTGAGTAGCAATGGTGAGTGATTTAATGGGGTACGTTCGGGTGCATGCCGTATGATGTACGATGTATGATAGCGTAGTAGACTTATCAAGCGCGGTGTGCAGAAGACCTTTTTCCACTGACTTTATTTGATGTTCGTTCATTTTATACGTCCTGAGACTATCCACGCAGGATATATAGTGAGAACTGATGTCGTGACTTCCCGCTTTTTTCATCACACAAGCGTCGACCGGAGACCAACGGGAGTTGGCCGCTGTGGCGTCTACGTTTATGCTGACTCCTGCGGTCGGTAGAATTGCCATTTTTATCTAGACCGCTGATCATCCCAATGTAGTCCAAAAGTAAGCACCGTTACGGCGTCCGCATATAAGCTGGCTCTTACAATCAGGGCCTGATGACAACTGCTTTTTGACGGCGTGACGTTCAGCCGAGAAAGACCAGGCAGCTATTTTTTCTTACGTCCCTATGGCTGCCTTGAGGCCTCTAACAATGTGTTTGGTTTTGCTACTATAAAAGCCTCTGCAAACTGCACACCAGGTGCATTTTGTTACCAGAACTACGTGGTTCCAAAATGTGGGACCGGAGGAACGCAGAAAGCTATTTTATCAACAAGAACCAGGAAAACAAAGTGAGAACTCACCGAACCAACTTCATGGCGCAGATTTCAAATTCGCGGTTTACCTGGCACAATCAAAACAAAGTTCAGTTCAGTTCCAGGACGTTGACGGCGGTGTGCCAGTTAGTCCAGTTTCCTGCAGC